ATCGGGCCGGACCGGTCGTTAGAACTTTTAAAGCAAGCGGGGGAAAGAGAAGAGCACGCGCATTGTTTTACGACTATTTTCCTCTCGTTCCTTCTCCTTCAGTTGTTTTTTTTTTTCTGTTTTTTGGTTTGTTGTTTCGGGCGTTCACGGAGCCGCGTATATTCGGAACACGCTCCGTGAGACGGAGCGGAATACTTAGAATTCAACGATCCCCGCTGGGAACGTAGCCGATGTGCGTTGGATATTCGCTCGATGAAACTCATACCCCGGAGATTGTTGCTTGTTTAATCCCGGCATCACTACGTTCCCCGGTGATTACGTTTACCAACGCGCGAGTGTTGTCGTTGTCACGCGCCGCGTCTTTGAAAAGCGATACCAATAACGCGTCGTTAATCTCGAAACTCGGCGAAACCAAAGGGCTCATCGCAGTTAGAGGAAATAAAAACAATTACGATACAATTTACACTACGATCAAATGCTATGGATCAAATGTTTACTTATTTTTATCGTATATATATCGTATATATATGCCGTTCACTTCAAAAATAATACAGCTAAAAAAACATGATTTTCAAATTAAAACAAAAACAATTTATTAAAATGAACTAACTTAATTAAAAAAATTATCACAACTCAAAAAAATGGGTTTTTAAGGATTCGATGTTATTTGATCAATAATTTTTTGTCAAGTTAAAAAATAATTTTCCTCTTTTCTAGGTAACTTAATTTTTTGAGCTGTGTCACTTTTGAAATAAGAGAACGATGTTCACATCGTAAATATATAATATAATAATAATAGAATCTCATTTTCCACATTTGAAATTTTCTTACGTTCATCGCATCATTGTGTGTTACGTATAATTGTGCAACAGAAATAATTCATCTGATTGAGATTTAATTTGAATAATAATATTGATTTAATTGTGAGTAATTAAATGTATGATTTTATCTTTTATATCGTGATTTTTTAGAAAGATTTAAAAATATTTTCATTTAGCATAATGATATTAACAATCCAATTTCATATTATACGCGAATCACGTGCACTCCATTTATCCTGTTTTATATGCAAGATATCGCTGCGCGTGTATTCTTCAGTTTTTATAATTATCAATTATTATTATCGGACACGGATCTGGCAATTTAGTTAGACTTTAATTAAATCATCACACAGTAAAAAGAGTCAATTCGCACATCAAAATATCATAAACAATTTGCACAACACGACGTACGAGTAAACGATCGTATTTCCTTTCCTGTCTATACATCTATGATCAAAGAGAAATAATTATTTACCGTCAAAAAATAGGTACCATAATAATCCACGCGGCACATATCGAGTTTTACCTCGGCCTGAGAGCACAAAGAGTTAATACGCGATGTCAACGGATTCGATGGTATATACGGCCCCGCGTCGCTTCGACCAGCCCGCGCGTTGGTGACACGCGTTTAACGCGATCGATAGGAGCGCGTAAACTCTGGGCGATCTGTCTCGTGCGCCGAAAAATACCGCCGATCCGGGGCGGATCCTCTCTGCGGCACGGCACGGCACGGCACGGCGCTGCGGGGCGCTGCGGGGCGCTGCGGGGGTGGTGCCCTGGTTGCATTATGGAAATCAGCGGGAATCGTAACGCCGGGTATGCGAGACACGTGAATTAAACACGTAATACACCGACTCGCGCGTTGCACCTGTCGCGCATGCAAATCACTTAAGCCATCGCGAGAGCGAGCGAGCGCGGCCGGTTTCCGAGCTTTTTCGGTGAACGTGGAGGCGGTGTGTGCGTGTCTAGCGAGTTGTGTTGTTGTATGTGCGCGTATCGCATATCGCGAGTATCAGCGAGTATATACCTATGCGACCATTCGCGCGAGGATCGGGGATTATTTATCGAGGAATTTCGCGATCGGCATACCGCACCATGCCGCAACCACCGCCGATCGTTTGTATTTTTTTTTTTTTTTTCCGACTAAAGACTGTTAGATCCTATCGCCAGAAAAGTGGATATCAGCAATGTATACCTTGGTTAGTCGTCGTGCACACGTACGAGTTTTATCCGCAGTTTGCTATTTACGTCGCTGTCGCTTGCATCGCTGTCGATTTAATTCTCGTTCGCGAAACCATCGACTTCCGATTTTCTCGACTTCCCGTAACGATGCCGACGTAAAAACGACTCGGAGAGCTTTCGCTGGTGCGTTTTATGTTTTCGATTCTTGGCAGCTCTCGGCGTCGCTCTGAAACTATTTTAAATCAGAAACGAATGCTTGCGCTTGATAATAGATAATGGAAAAATCTGGGACATTCGGGGAGGTAATGCGAAGTCTAGAAATTTAGGATGCATTAGGAGATATTACAAATCATACTAATGCAGAGAAAAAACAATTTTCGAAGATAATATTTCTTGAATTCCGGATTCAACGAATCCGGACCAAGCGAATGCAAAATAAATGATTGAACAACATGAATGAACAACTTACTTAAACGAGTGTAAACGACTTCGCAAGTTCATTGTTTAGTCATGCTTATTTGTTGCTTATTTGAATTCAACTTTTAACATCTCTTTCTGTAGTAAATGTCTGAATAGTCTTAGCTTATATTATTGTACGGGTTGTACTTTATTATCAAGTAAATCTCTCAAATTATTGGAGCATTATGCTTTTTCATTAAAAATCTGTTTATACCCTGATCACAGTTATCAGACATAAGGACGTAGTTTCTAGAACACCCTATATAGAGGATGACACAGATACCGAGGTTATCGTATCTTCCATGGCTACGAACATGTTACTGGTAATAACAGAATTCGCCCAGTGCTCGAAATTTACTCTCGCAACGTGCCGCGAGATCTACGTCGCGAAATTAGAAACGAGGAAATACTGTTTCGTATAGCGGATACTGGGTAAATCGGATTGCTCGAAACGCATTGCTTCACTCGGTGATCGAAAAAAAAAAATATTCGTAACGCGTTACGACATGTTATTTGTGCGTTTCAGTGAAATGTTGCGGGTATAAATTTCAAACAATAGGCAAATTCCAATAAATTGCCAATTTCATCTCGGTTAAATTCGATGGCAGTATTTCCAATATCTTTTGATTCAATATATTTTGAACTTGCAATAATTCCTATAGAAAACAGAAAGGAATTGACCGGAAATATCTAAAGCTCTTATTTATAGTCGTATCATTGTTGAACAACTTATTATTAGATATGTGATATGTTTTATAAATCGATCTTGAGAGTCAATTTGGTTTGTTTGATTACATCATATTTGCAATTGCGATTGTGCTTTGAATTAATAAATTGTGGATTGGGATAAAGTTTATGTTGAAATACAGTCCGATTTTTTTCTCGTAATTTAATTGATCGATTTTGGAAATAAAATTGTATGTAAATGAATTGTATGTAAATGTTAGTTTTAAATTATTATTATTTATAAAAAAAGAAATAATTCGTAACAACTAAAATTTGTTATTAATAATATACATCTCTAGTAATCGTAATATACATTTATATACACTGAGAGGAAAAAAAAATTGTGGCAACTATAAAGTACAATTCTAAAATTTAAATACTTGCAACTAATTTTAAAAAGTAATAAGAAACTAAAGTAGTATAAAAAATATAGTATTCAGTACCACTTTAGTTCTTATTACTTTGTAAAACTAGTACTTAAATTATTAAAATTATTAATTTAGTAGTTGTCAAAACTACGTTTTTCTCTGAGTGTACGTATCAATCAAATTAAAGCAAATTTTCTTTTCAATTGGAATTAGCAAACAACCATTATTTCCGTTGCAAAACGCTTTCTCAATCGGACGTTATTAAATCGGTATTTAATCGTTGCCTGAGACGGCGCTTAATAATTTATAAAACAAGGTGAAAAGTGCTGAATAATAGTCCATTCATCAAAATTAATTTGAATTACGAAGTGAAATATTTAGCGTTATTTCATAATTTGTTAGACACGTCGCACAAAATATCAAGCTGACTGGCTCGATATTAGTTTTAGTAGCTCACGCTGCCTGCGTGCTATACGTGCACTCGAGATTGCCGCACGCCGTATTGTCATTCGCGAGGTGACTCGAGTCGGCAGGTAGCGGCAGGTCCGCTCCGTGTGTCGTCTCATTATTCATCGAGATGCGATCGCGTCAAGTACAAGGAGACAGACGTGAATATTTCCTGCGCACTATCGGCCCGCGCGGTAAATTAACTTTCGCGGTTCTAATGTCGACCATAAATACGAGTCTTACGTATGGTAACCTATTTCGTCTGCCGAAACGCTCACTACATTACTTCTAACATTTAAAATTTTCATTTCGCAACACTAAATAACTCGGTCGCCATTAAATCCTATATATAAAGTTATTGCCATCTTTTTTTTTTTAACTTAGAAACCGGATTATTCATATTCTGCTTTTTTTAGATTGCTATATATTAAAAACACTGGAGTTTCCGATGAAAGTAAAAGAGTGCAGTTTTTATATATTCGTCTTACATTATTCAGCGAGAAGAGCGGGCCTCCTCCTCTTTTTAAAGGCCGGAAGTCGAAGAAAATAAAATAAGTGACGATTATATTATAAATTCGGTATAACGAATAAGCTCGCAACGAGTAAGCTCTCGTTCATACTCGATTTCGAGGTATTTAATTGCATTCAATTTACAGTCGTCGCGAATGGCTGATCGTTATTTAAATGCTGCCTCTCTCGCTTCGTCTCGCACGGCATCGACGCGAGGATGATTCACGACGAAATGTGAAAAACAAACAACGAAATTAGAATAACGGCTCTCGTCGAAGAAGGAGAAAGAGGGAGGGTATCTCTTCAAACGATATATTTACGTGTTAATTGAATCGACGGGCCGGTAATTTGTACCTGAAAAAGAATCCGAAATTGTCGCTCGGTCAACGAATTTTTTAGAAAATTAACTCGCTCGATTTTTGGATCGTCGACGCGATGTTAATTTTATAGGCAACGGAAGCCTATACCGGTTGTGAGAACCTTTACAATGCCGTATGTATTGTATATGTATTCGTGTGCGTGTACATGCCCGCATGTGCGTACATATCAAGTTCCGGTGATATGCAGCGTGGCCGAAGAAGTTCAAGCTTGTCCGCAATTCATCGGTAGACATCCACCGGACACGCCGTCAGCAACACAGCAGCAGCAGCAGCAGCGGCAGCAGCAGCAACATCAACGGCAGTGGCGGCAGGGCAGGGGTATCTTTTTTTTTTCCATCAACCTTCGTCACGGTTTTTCACGAACTTCTGGTGCCGCGCCGGTCACAATGAAGGTAACGAAAAACCCGCCAAACTGGTTCCGAATGAACGTCTCGCCGAAACACGCGCTCGCGTGCGAGAGCGCGAGAGCCTCGTCGGGGATACGCGTTTAGCATTTTTATATCGTACTAGAGAAAGCATTAAACGCGAGAAACAGCATGCGACTGTAATTGGTATTGCGGCTTACTCGTTACACATAAATGCGTTTTTGGTAATGGTAATAATCGGTATCAATTAAACCTAAATTATATTTTTAATTATGGTGCAATTTATATGTAAATGTCTTTTGAAAATTCCTCCTCTTTAATGACGTGTTATTTTGGTAGTATAATTAGACATTGTAGCTATATATAATATATATATATTAGGTGTTGGAATTAATTCGTAGCGTTTTACAAGTGATGGGAAGTACTTTCATTAATGTATTTTTTAATGCTCATGTGAAATAAATAACATTCTTTCATTAAAAAACGCTACGAATTAATTCCAACACCTAATATATAAGTAAACAGATAAAATATAAGTATATATGAAATAGAGAACATATAATAACAATAAAATTATTTTGATAGTATAATTAAACATTGTTGCTATATAAATACACATATAATAAAATATATAAAATATAAGTATATATGATAATAGAGAGTATATAATAGTAATATAATAATAGTGTTATTTAGTTATTCTTTCATACGAATGAACGCATTTATGGTGATGCCTTGACAATATTATATTGATATTCAATATAGTTAAAACGTATATCTAAAAAGATAAAAAAATGCACTGAGAAATATCGCGAATTTTGTTTTTAATAAAATATTTTTATGTATTTCAATTTGAAAGTCAACAATTTACTGTTTCTTCTATTATTTTTCTTTTGTTTTTTGCAATATTTAATTCATTCTGGTTTAGAAAGGAACAGAGAAAACAATGAGAGTTTCAGATTAATATTCAAAAATATTTGTATTCTGAAAAGATAGAGGCACTTTGTTATACACTACATTACATTTTATGGACGTTGTATTATCTTTCATATTTATTCTATTTCAAAATCCCGAAAGATCAAAGAATAATTGTAATAAAATACGAAAGTGTTTACATTATGAACAAAAAAAAAATGAGGTACTCTGTCATACAGTACATTATGCTTTACGGACGTTACTTTGTGAGACTTATTGATTTACTATATGCGTTTAAGGGAGACGCGCACACCCTACTGAAATCCATATTAAAGAGATATACGTACATGCATTGTTGCGGTTTTACGACTTACCTGTCTACACGGGGCGCTTTTATTGTATTTCAAATTACACAGTACCTACGCACCGCTTCTCGCACGGAATGCATAATGACTCTTCCTCACGCGCTTTCATGCAGCTTCGCTGTAATTAAAAGTGTAACGCGTGCGAGTTATATCGCACGCTCGACAGGCGGATAAAGGCGGTGAAAGTCGTTTAACTGAATGAATAGACTTGCGTTTTGTTACAATTAATGCATTCGACCGTCTACTTAAGACGGTACGCTTCATGTATCCCGTTTTCATTGATTAATAGTACCTATGAACATCAATGTATTACTCGAAGAAGTAATGAAAATTGATCAAACAGCAATCTCGAGTAAACGCTTCAATCGCGAGTTGCATCAAAACCACATTGTAAATTCATTGCATTTCATTCACTTTACGTAAATATACGCTTGTGTTGCCGGGGTTAGTAGTAACAAATTCAATTCAATTTACAGTTGCTCATCAAAACCATATTGGAATTCTGATATTCCGTAGAAAGATTTTAGTTTGCCATTACAACAAAGGATATCTACCACTTGTCGATAAAAAAAATCTTCCAAGGAAGGAATTCAACGAAAAGGATCAATCTTTTATTCTTTATATAATAAAAAGTAATTATTCTACTATAAAACTCTTTAGATGATAAAAAGTGATAGTAATCACTCTTATTATATAAAAATCTTGTTAAACACAAATTAATTTTTGAAACGCAATATTAGCTTTTTCTGATCGATTATATTATTAACAGGTCACCCCATACATTTTGTTATAATAACCCAGCTGCGATGAAGAGAGCTATTAATCGATTAAGAGTTTCACTGAATTTATCGGGAGCGACGTGAGAGCAGCTGAGAGTCGCAATAATAGAGGACTACACGCGGCATCGTGCGAGACCCAGGGAATTTACCTGCCGTACATTTGTCACGTCCCAAATTGCATTACGCGCTACGTTGGATTTCTATATAAAATGGCCCTAAGAAGCCATCGACTTTGCTGTCATCGTTCAATCTGCCGTGGCATGCTCCTCTCTGCTCTGATCTTTCTTCCTCCCTTTCTCTCTCTCTCTCTCTCTCTCTCTCTCTCTCTCTTCTTTTCTTCTCATACCTCTCTCTCACGTACACATACAAGAGTACTCCGCCTTGCACTCTCGCCATATGGTTCGCGGCCCTGCCGTTCATTCATAATACACACAGTTCTAAAAGTTCAACATCTCGCAGACCAGTCCAGAACGCACGGACAGTCGAGCACAAAACGCCTTTTACGCGGTCGGAAATTTTCCAAAATAAATCGCAAAGTGGAAAGGAACATATATATTTCGTTCGTTCATGCTGCCAAAAAGGTGGCACGTTCTAATGCTCGAAAGCGCGAGTGAGGTAAATGCCGCGAGCCAGAAAAGAGAAAGAGAGGAGAAAAATGGGAGAAAGAGAGAAAGAAAAAGGGAGAGAGAGAGAAAGAGAGGGAAGAAAATAAAGGGAAGGACGATAAGAGGATTTGAAGCGAACTCCATGCTTTTGACGTAAATGTTGCAGACGGCGTGCTAACGCGCCGCAACGTAAAAGCGTATGCATTTTTTACTCGCGTTATTTCGACGCGATGCGCGCACGCGATGTCAATTCCTGAGCGTGTGAAGAGAATAAGATATCCCCCCGCGTGTATACTTGAATGAGGACGAGCTAATCTCTCAGACGTCTCTCGAGATTCGCGAGCGACAAATTAGAATCGCGGAATCGTCTCGTTGAATGCAAATGCGCGGCGAGCGAATGAGGAAAAGAGCGCGGACGAATTTCACGCACGATAAATTTCACGCGCGCGTCGTACAACTCGGAGCGCAACAACGGCTGGAGGAGGAACGTCACCGCGCCCGGCGAATGAAAATTTCGCAGGTGCCATCGTTAATTTTATCACCGTCCCCGTCGCGACTTTTTACCTCGCGCCTCGTTCCTTATTATTACGACTTTTTTTTGTCTCTGTTTCTTATTTACTCGAGAAACGCGAATACGTGGGTGGTAAGGAAGACGACGAAAATTATGTCGTCACGCCTGGCTCTTCCTGTCAGCGGTCCAGCACACAAAGACCGCGATGCATACACGGTGGCTGCGGGAACCGTTTTCGTGTGCGCCGCGTGTACCTTCCACGCTTACCTGGCAAAATGGGGAAAGGAAGAGAGCACAGAAGGCGAGCACACAGAGCTAAAGCCCTACGAACGCGTGCAGGTAAACGCTCGAATTATATGTCTATGTTTATACAGGGTGATCTAAATTTCCTGTGCCTTTTTATGTATAGATTTTAAATTTTATTTCGAGGAAATTTGTTCTTAAGGAGAGAATACCGAGGCAGATTTTTTTTCAACTTTATTATGAAACTAAAATCGTGGAAATGAGTAGAAAAATGTTGTTCTTTTCTCAATTTTATAAATGTGGTTAGAATTTTAAATTGAGAATAGGACAAAATGAGATTACAACGAGAAAATTTCCAAAATTGCTTGTAAATTCTTAGAAAAATTCTTACAGAGTGCAACGTCGAATATCTCTTCGTTAAGGAAAATTTTCTTTACTTTAAAAAAGATATCATTTTGTTAAGATAAAATCTAAAGCTGAAGGGAACGCGCATAAAAATTGGGACACCGTGTATGTAGGTGAAAAGGGCTTCTATTGTGATTAGTAGCCGGTCCGTCCATCTGCAGCATCTGGTAGTTCGTTCGAATGACCGAATGTATCTGGTTGGTCGCTCGATTCAGCGATCAAGCGACGAATGTGGTGATGTCAGCCCTCTGACGAAGTCGAAATCCAAAATAAACTGACGGCATTCATCGACGATCGACGGTGCGGGTCTCATTAGCTTCCATGTCTCGGAAGGAATTTTTTATGTCCACAAACTGCCCTTCGTTCGATTCAATAGCTGCTCTCGTCGATCATATCGCGCGTCATCTCGCAGACAATGGCTGTTTACTTAATTTCGTCGAGTACGTGCTTATACTTTCTTTCTTAAATCCACCATTTATCCCGCGGACTATCTTCACATTAAAGGGGGTTACGGAGAATAATTTTAACGAGGGAGAATTGCGAGATTTTTGATAATTTGGACCCCCAGTTACTATGTAGAATAGAAAATTCAACATTATTATCTGGATTATCTCCGTTTTGCGGAAATAAAAAGTATTTTGGATAAAAGTTTAGTTTCAAAGAGGAAATGTAATATCTATGTGAAACCTTTCGTGTTACATGCTTTTTATAAAATATTAACGTTAATACCAATTTAATTTTCTTACTGATATAAAAGTTACAAAATAGACGGAATTCAAAATACATTTACACTACACATTTAACATTAGCAAAAAGAAAGACATTCCTTTTTTATATTTAAAAAAATGTACTAAATAATTTTAGAATAATTAAATTTTAATTCTCACAATTTTTTCTAATTATTAAATAATTCGCACTCTCTCTCTAAACTTTAGTTTTATGTAAATTTTTTTATCACAAGTATACCTATGTTAACATTTATTAGGATTACAAACATATATTAACATCAAAATTTATACATGAACCAATATTCTTGTAAGTGCATTTTTATATTTCAAAACTACAAGTTGAGTAAAATAGCCTGCTCTTGCTTAGTTAGAATGACCGCGCTAAAACGCGAAGCTCTTAAA